ATTACAATGTTCTACATTAGCACTAACACAAACGTTCACTGCACTAGCTCAAATTATTTCTTCCTTTTGAGCATTCTGTTGAGTGTAGAGTTGTTCAGTAGTTGCTGCGTTTCTTTGTTGACGTGAGAGTGGAGTCGACCCTCGTTCTTCACAACAAACTTCTTTACTTTTCCATTTGTAAACTACACAAATAATTAAATGTTTATTTTACGTATTAAGTTTATTAATATTAAAATAACGTTACAAAAATAATAATTATTAAAATAAATGGAATAACACAGTCTTAACAAAGAAACCGACTGCATTCCTCAACGGTGTTCGATAATCTGCTTATCCAAATAGTTGTCCCTCTGACGTTGGGTTGTCTCTGCACTGACCGCACGACGACCCTTTTCTCGGCCGCTGTGCTTATTGATATTTTGATTTCCCAGAAATCGTCTCGGGTTAAGGGACCATCCAAAAATAGATTACACATTGGCTGTTGGCATCTTCAGGTCTCTATGAAGATAATCGTTTCGATAGAACCAAGGTGAATCAACAACTTGTACCATGTTCATATTTCTCTTGCTAGCACATCGCCATTGCTGCATGCCATAAATCCAGACTGGTTTTAAGGTTTGTTGTAAATTGACAGCTTGGATTTTCTTCCTAGAACCCAAAACAATTTTTTGAATTTATGATCAAGTTCTTTACGCTTTTCTGTGCTCTTTATATTTAAGTCGTACATCTAGGTTCATCTCTGGGTAATAGGCCGAATTCCAATACGGAATAAGATCATTGTTTATTCTTATTTAATTATGTTCATTTTGTCGAAAAGTAAAATCAACATGCACTGACTTAGTTTGATTTATTTTTATTTTTACTTTTTTGTTCATCGATTGGTTCTGTTGCAGGTTCCCTGGAGTTTTTCTGAATTTTTAACTATGGCACCCTGTATTTCGGAAATCAGTAATATTTTATCTAAGTGATTTTATTTTTAATCAGAGAGTCTTCAGTTGTTCTGTGTCCCATTCTTAATAATTCACTGTGTATAAAAATTAATTACATAATATTGTTACTTTAAAAAGTATTCCTGACTATTCCACATTTTCTGACCTATAGGATGTGAATAATTATGATTTATTATTTTATTATTTATGTAGTTATGATAGTCAATGAAGTCAATGTCAATTCGCTGAAATTTGATAATGACATATCAACACACATATCAATGATGCTCTACTACTCTCGTCTGGTGTACTAAATATTTTGCGTAGGTTATTCTGTTTCGTGCCTGATATTTTATGACGTGATGGAAATGGGGATCTACAGAATTTTTCATGAAGAAATCAAAATTCATAGAAATTTAAATATTTGATAGTTTTAGAATCCAGCAATAAGTAATATATCGATGGTTTAGTGCTAGGGTTGCCACCTTTTTTAAAAGTGAATAAAGGATTACGATGCTGACAGGGGCTCCGGTATACAAAAAGTTATCTTTAAAAAAAAAGGACGCCGAGCATATAAAAAAAATCCTCCTCGTTATTCTACCGAGCTTCTAAAAAAAGGTCCTCAGTTTATATATTTTTGTATAAACCATATCCCTTCCAGAGATATGTGCTGTACAAAAGACATTTGCCGTAAAAAAAGACATTTGCTGTAAAAAGGACATTTTCAGCTTTAAAAAGTCACAAGGACATTTTACTTTAAACAAGGACTCCTTTTTAAAGGACAGGTGGCAACCCCTTTTTAGTGCACACATGTGCTTAAGTAACATTTTGCTAATATTTCACAATTTAAGTTTAAAGGATTAAAAATATAGCTCTCTGTTATCTCACAAGAAATGTATCTAAAAAATACTTTCAACACTTGTTTGTTTTTTCTGATTACATAATGAAGTGAAATAAAGATAAAGTATTTGTACTCGTACACATATTTTATACAATTTGCCCCAAAAATGCACTAACATGTCAATCGATATAGTCATTAAAAAACTAAAATTAGGGAATTTTTTGCACAAAAATAAAACAGAAATTTTCAAATTTGTACAATTTTGATTGGACATTTTAGTTTTATGCGTTTAGGAGATGACACGAAGGAGCTGTTGAGCTGTACTTGAGAAGGTTTTCGATCTATAAATATAACAGAATTAGTAAATATTTTGAATTTATAAAATCGCTGCTGCTTACTATTACGAGACAATTCTCCTCTTGCGGGGATGAGCAGTATCTAGAGCAGGGATTCCTAAAGTGGTTGATACGGGCCCCTTAGGGTCGAAATGAATTTCGCAGGATTCGACATACACG